GGCTCAGATAAAATTTCTTAAAAATCGCAAACAATTACAGTACACTGTACAAAAGCAAAAATGCATCTGATACATAGCTCCGATATGTAGTGATGCAGACAGAAGCATGTACAGTATGAGCCAATCAGTGGCAGTAATGACAGCGCATGCGCTGTTACGCAAAAAACCGCAATAGAGTGAAGCCGCGGAAGGCAAAGCGCGAAGTGGCGAGGGTTCACTATATCTAATAAACACCCCTGCCTGTGATTCTTCAGGTTTTCGACTGTGTGCATGCTGATGGCTTTGTTCCCAAGCCAGGTCTCCCTCTGTGCAGCTGAGAACAAACACAGAGATGGATGTAAACGAAAGCGGAAATCTTCACTTTAGTTGGTGAAGTAGGTGCAAGGCAGGACTACCAAGACAAGTTCCCCCAAAAGGGAGATTTGTAGTTTTATGCATATACCCAAGAAGTAAACTGCAGGGCTTATGAACATGGAATAGATGTCTGAAGAATAATCATGAATATTAATTAAGATGAAGTTAGGGTTCTTGATCAGAAAATGGCTTATTGGATGTCTCACTTTCAAATGTTGTCCTTTTACTTTCAAATTTTATCTTCTTGCTTTCAATTGCTGTCCGAGTTGGTCTAGTGAGTTATTCCTTGGCTAAAGTTCTTTCATTTCCGGGTCACCTGCAGGTTGTGCGTGTCCTTTTTGCACATGTTTGGCATGCCAGACCTGGTTATAATGGATACTGCTTGCCATGTGGCAAGAAATACTTTGCTGGGAGGAAAGAGTTCAAAAGAGACAGGTTATCAGTAAGGACCCAAAACCAAAATATCAAACTGACGGCCCTTGAGTCCATGTTGACTCATCATAACCCTGTTGGACAGAGTAGAATGACTCTAGGGTTTCTATGGCTTTAAATCAGGGGTCCTCAAATTTTCAAACAGGGGCCAGTTCACTGTCCCTCAGACCTGTTGGTGGGCCGGACTATAGTTAAAAAAAAACTATGAATAAATTCCTGTGCATACTGCACATATCTTATTTGAAGTAAAAATTAAAATGGGGCAAAAACACCCGGCAGGCCGGATACATGTCCTCGACAGGCTGCATGTGGCCCACAGGCCGTAGTTTGAGGACGCCTGGTTTAAATCCTTACCGGAGACTCCACCCTCCTCTTTATCCTTCGAACTGCTCACTTTGCAGATAGCAGCCCAACACCGACATGGCTCCTTTCAGGAAGGGGAATCCCGTTTAATTATGGGCAATACATGAAGTACAGATCTTTCCACATCTCGTAGCAGTACCCCTTACAGCCTAAGGGTAAGTTCACTGAGCACGCTGTGGCGTTGACAAGGTTACACAGTGAAAACAGGGTGTGTGGTGGTCTCACTTTCCTTCCTGCAGATGATTGTTTTCTCTCGGCCCTGTTCAGGGCTTCATACAAGGTTGGAATCTGGGGTCTTTTTTCCCCTAGCACAGTGAAAGTTGGGGCTGTGCCAGACAGCCAACATGGTGTTTTGCAGATAACCCTAGAAATAACCTGAGTAGGGCATTTCCTGCTGTTCCCTCTGCTTTAGCTGCTGTGTTGCTCTAGCTGCTGTGCTGCCTCTGAGCTGAGGCTCCTGCTAAACCAGTGCTGCCGTCATCCCCCTACACTTGCCATTATGATTATCTCCCGGGCCCTCCTCAGCCATGGTGACGTCTTCTCTGACATTTTCAAGGTCCGGGGGAGTCTGGTGGGCTCTGCTGGAAGTTCAGGGGGAAATGATCAGTAGGACAGAAGGTAACTTTGGTAGAAATGCCTCAGCTGACAGCCTCCGCGGTGAAAGGACAGAAAGCACAGTAATCATTGGTGTTAATATGATTGTGAACTGTCACTTTCAGGAAGCCAGCTTCACAAAAGAAGCCTTCAAGAAGTTCCTCAAAGGTGGCATGAAATCAATCAAAGGCAAACCTGGAAATCAGAAACCAGAAAGAGCTAAACCTTTTATGGCAGGACTGCTGAACAAATCGAGCATATCCTTGCTAGTTTCAAAAAATGACCAGTTCTTTATTGGTAAAAACATGAATCCAGATGGCATGGTTGCTCTGCTGGGCTACTGTGAGGATGGTATGACCTCATATATGATCTTCTTTAAGGATTGTGACAGTTACATAATCTGTCAACTTGTGAAGGGGTGGAGTCTAACATGTGAATCAGGTCATAGCCAATGATGCCTTTGTGTGGGCAAGGCCTTCTGAGGATTCTAGGAGCTCCTGTCTTCCTCCTGGGAGGCGGGACATATACCCTGTGAGACATTCCTGTTGACAAGCCAGATGGAGCCACACTGGTGGAGTCAGAGCCCAGGAGCTGGAGGAGCCATGAGAAGACCCACAGCAGCACTGAGATGCTTCCACTGTCACTTGATCCACAAGACTTTTCACCCACTGTCCTGTGATCTTCCTGCATTTGGTGTCTTTGCATGTGTTGTGTGCGTCTGAAGAGGAATTTATAGACTGGTATTGCCATATGGGCTAATATCAGACTTATGGACTTGATCTGGGCTGGGCTGGGCTGTTTTATTAATATGCAATTACTCTTTGATATAGCACTCTTTCTTATACACATATGAATGAATTTGTTTCTCTAATCAACCCAGACTAACACAAGGATATTTAGAAATAGAGAAATGCTAACAAATTATAGCCCCAAACAAAACAAAATAAAAATCCCTATGGAGCAGTTCCAGTTTGTAACACATAGAATGCAAGTCAGAATTGATTCTAAGACAAGGTTGTTTGCTTTTTTAATATTATTGGATAAAGAGAAAGCAATGTTAGGGAGCTGGGAGAGGGGCGTTGCTATTTTATATAGTGTACTAGGAGAAGTACAAAGACCCTGAGGGAGAACATGTTGGATATATCTGAGGATGTAACACCAGTGTACATGGAGCAGAGTGAAAGATATAAGTATGGTAAGAAGTGGGGTTATCTAGTTTATTTTATTTCAGGAGCTAGTGACCTTCAGAGATGTGGCTATAGACTTTTCTCAAGAGGAGTGGGATTGCCTGGATTCTTCTCAGAAGCATTTGTACAGCAATGTGATGTTGGAGAACTACGGGATCTTGGTGTCACTGGGTAAGAATACAAAGTCCACATCTGTTCCTAAGGAGCTCTTTGATATTGGTGGATGTTTAGAAAGCATCTGAAATACTTGACTGGATGGCTACTTTCTATGCCAAAGAAATTATTTCATATTAGTGGAGTTGGCCTTGGAACAAATCTTATTATTGTTAACTTATGACTGAAGTTTCCGTTTCTCTATTCTTCTAAGAAGTATCCTAAATACATATTTCTCTGACTTACTGTAAATGCCCTCTTCCCTGATAATCCAAGGATTGAATGTAAATCTGATTTATTTTGATGTTTACAGGACTTTGTTTTTCTAAGCCAAGTGTGATATTAATGTTGGAGCAAGGAAAAGAGCCCTGGATGGTGAACAGAGAACTGACTACAGGTGTGTGTTCAGGTGAGTAAAGAGGAAACAATCAGCCGAATTATTTCTCAAGTGACGGCTCAACTTGACTCAACATTGAGCCCCCTTTCACTATACTTTGTTGAAATATTCTTTTCAAATGTTCTAGGTCTTAGAGCCAAGTCCCATTCTTTCTCAGTTGTATTGTGACTCAGAATATAGTCTTGGCATTTGTAGGTGCTTGAAAAGAATGTGTGCTCTTCTGTTCTTGGGTAGAGGGTTCTATAATTGTGAATTCAATCCTCTTGGTTGGTGGTATTGTTTACATCGATATCCTTACTGATTTCCTTCCCACTTGTTTTATAAATAAATCCAAGGGTAGATAAACTGTGACTAGTAGTGAGAATATAATTAGAATTAGGACTTACGAGGTAGGGTGTCCACATGTTCCTGGTGGAGGAGTAGTAAGGAAATGACAAAAGATTTAAAATTCAACCCCAGCCTTCCTGAAGGTCATTATGAAGGTATAATTTTCAAAAGAGAATAGAATGTAATATATTTAAGAATTTTTCTAGCATGATTATAACTTTTCAATATTTAGACATATGGTATGTTTAACTCCATTTGTACTTTTTCTAATGGCTCTGAAATGTAGGAATAGATCTACTTATATATTTTTAGATCTGTATCTAAATTTTTTACTTTCTACAGTGCCACAGCCATACTGTTTTCATTTCTCCTGGTTTGTGATTTATAGTCTTCATTCATTTACTTTTTTTTAAATATCAGAATTTTTCTTAAAGAAAAAAAGTCTGTTAAAGATTATATTGAGATTTGATTGGATTTGAGTGGAAATAATAGTGAGACTTGATTCATTATGTTATTGATTCAACATATTCAAAAATAATATTTGTATCACCCTTATTCAGATGTTTTAAAATTCCTAATAACTTTAAATTTGGAGGGTTATTTATTTATTTGCTCATTACTTGTAAAATTCATTTCTAGCATTGTTTTATTTTTTTTCTTTCTAGAGTGTTATTACCATTGTTAATAATATCTTTATAGTCCATCATTGCTGATGGCTTTTCCATTATTTCACTTGTTCGGGCATAAACTTTGAGGAAATGCTTGTCTCTTCTTTTTCTATCTCATTCCACACACAATATATTTAGAATCTGATCACCTTGTCCTCTTTTCTGAATCACATTATCTCTGTCCTGGATTAATATTATAAAGTTTCCTTCTCTCTTTGCTCCCTACTTACAGTATATTCACAAAACAGAGAGTTGGGATTGTACTCCTTTGCTCCTTTACTCAAAACATTTTAGTGCTGTCCATTTCCCTCAGAGAAAAAGCTAGACTTGATAAGAGGCCTGTAAGGCTTAAGTAACCTGGTAACCCACGACATCCCTGTCTTCATATCCTACTACTCACTCCCCACAAACATACCAGACCCGTATTCTGCCCTGAGTGCTCTTTCCTCAGTTTTCTAAGCGACTAAGTATAGTCAATTCACATCTTTGCTTAAATGTCAGTTCATCAATAATTTCTACCTCTGACATTCCTCACACTCCTGTTCTCTTTAACCTTGCTTTTCTTTGTGTAGGACTTATTACCTTTTCGTGTAATTAAAATTACTTTTTATCATTTATTTTCTGTCTCCCTAAGAATTAAGGCCAATATAGGTAAGCATCTTTGTTTGTTTACGAGGATATAGAAAGCATATATGACAGTACCTGGCACAAGGTAAATATTTGCTCCATGAATGTTCTTGAATGGAGCAGCTATAAGAATGGAGATTATTTCAGTACTTAATATAGGCATAACTTTTTAGCTGAGCCAGACCACCTTCATCATATATTCGTGCTTATCCTGAAATTCACCTCAGTGATTATCTCATAATTTAATTCATTTCTCTGCAGATTTCTTTGTGAGTTACTTAGATCTTGCACATTTAAGAAATATAAAAGCAATGTTCTTTTGGGTTTAATTTTTATACATCATTTTATGAAGGTACATTCTAATAGAGAAGACTTTTCTTACAATTTTTCAGGCTGGGAATCTATGTGTGAGACTGAAGAACTAACCCACAAGCAGGCCATATATGAAAAAGAATCATCCCGGAAGATAATAGAAAAACTTACAAGCTATGGCCTTGAATACCCCAGTTTAAAAGACGAATGGAAAGGTGACAGCCATTCTGAGGGGCAACTAGGATATCAGAAGACATATTTTAAAGACGAGACAATGACTCATGAAGAAACCCTTGTTGATAAAAGAGGACAAGAATTTAACAAATCTTGGGGAAGCTTCTATCAGAACATACTTTTTCATAAACAACAGATAATCCCCAAAGAGGAAAAAGTACATAGGCCTGACACATATAAGAAAAGCTTCCCAAAAAATCTAATGGGCATTAATCCCAAGAGTGTCTATGTAGAGAAGAAACTCTTGAAATGTAATGACTGTGAAAAAGTCTTCAGTCAGAGCTCATCCCTTACTCTTCATCAGAGAATTCACACTGGAGAGAAACCATATAAATGTATAGAATGTGGAAAAGCCTTCAGCCAGAGATCAAATCTTGTTCAGCATCAAAGAGTTCATACTGGAGAAAAACCCTATGAATGTAAGCAATGTAGCAAAGCCTTCAGTCAGAATGCACATCTAGTTCAACATGTTAGAGTTCACACTGGAGAAAAACCTTATGAATGTAGGGTTTGTAGGAAAGCCTTTAGCCAGTTTGCTTACCTTGCTCAACATCAGAGAGTTCATACTGGAGAGAAACCCTATGAATGTATTGAATGTGGAAAAGCATTTAGCAATAGATCATCTATTGCCCAACACCAGAGAGTTCACACTGGAGAGAAACCTTATCAGTGTAACGTCTGTGGAAAAGCATTTAGTCTGCGTGCATATCTTACTGTACATCAGAGAATACATACTGGAGAGAGACCATATAAATGTAAGGAATGTGGGAAGGCCTTCAGCCAGAATTCACACCTTGCCCAACATCAGAGAATACATACTGGAGAAAAACCTTATATCTGTAAGGAATGTGGGAAGGCCTTCAGCCAGATTGCTTACCTTGCTCAACATCAGAGAGTTCATACAGGAGAAAAACCTTATGAGTGTATTAAATGTGGGAAGGCTTTTAGCAATGACTCATCTCTCACTCAGCATCAGAGGGTGCACACTGGAGAGAAACCTTATGAATGTAATGTTTGTGGGAAAGCCTTCAGTTACTGTGGATCTCTTGCCCAACATCAGAGGATCCACACTGGAGAACGACCCTATGAATGTAAGGAATGCAAAAAAGCCTTCAGACAGCATGCACACCTTGCTCATCATCAGAAAATTCACATTGTGGAATCACTCTTGCCACCCAAACCAATTAGTTCCCAAATCCTATAGCTTTTATCCTCCAAATCTGGAATATTTCCTCGCTCACTCGCTCATGTTGTCACTTCAACCAAGATTTATCTCATTTGGACAACTGCTATCATTCTCTAAAGGATTTCTTTTATCTGCTTTTGTTCACCTTAAAGCCATTTCCACAAGGCATCCAGATTGATCTTTTAAAAAGTATAAGAATCCACACCATTATCAATGGTGCAGAAGTTAGAAGTGCTCAGCTGCTACCTGAAACACCAGTTTCCCTGCTGGAGAAAGATGTGGCAGTCTACTTCCATAAAGATAACAGCCTGGGAAACTATAAGTCAGTTCTACTATGTCCTCGAGGGCCACTATGGGTTGGAATCAACTTGATAGCAGCAACAGATTGTTGTGTTTTTTGTTTTTATTGTTCTTGAGCTAATATTCACAATCTTAAAAATTGTTTATGAGGCTCTCCCCTGCCTGATTTGTACTAGAATTCAACCTTATTTTATTTCAATCTTCTTCATAAGATTGAAGTGCTAAACCCTTCATATGACTAAGAATTTAGATTATGGACAAATCATTGTTCTGCCACTATTGTGGCACTATGACAATTTGTTTGACTTACAAAATCTCAGGGTTTTCTTTAATTATTAAAAGAGGCAATAAATGATGGTATGTACTGGAAATGTAAGTATTAACTGAAGCATTAGTTTCCATTGTAGCTTTATGCCTAAAATAAGAAGTCTGCATATAAAGTACTCCACAAAATGCCTCATGTAAGCAGATGCTCAATAAATAATAATAACTGATATGTATCAAGTGCCTACTGTGCGCCATACTGTGTAAAGTACTCAACATGTATTAACTCATTTACTCCTTACAGCTAAGACAAGACGTCTTGGTAAGCCAAGTAGAGCATCCCTGGGAAGTATCAGGTTAGAACCAGGAAAACCGAAAGATTGGAGAACAGAAGTGAGAGTCTCTGTACCTTAATGGATAATTAACATACAACTATAGTACTTATAACTGGTTTTAGGAGGTTTTTAATGAGAATATATTGTATGATGGTGTTCTTGCTGTTAGATGCCATCAAGTCATCTCTGATTCATAGCAACCCTATGTACAATAGAGCAAATATTATCTGATCCTGTGCCATCTTCACAGTGGTGATCTCTGAGTTCATTGTTGCAGCCACTATGTCAACTCATCTCATTGAGGGTCTTCACGAAGCATGATATTCTTCCTTCTCTAGTGACTTATCTCTCCTGGTAACATGTCCAAAATATGTGAGAAAAAATCTCCCCATCCTAATGTTTGGTAGTCCATGTTGTTGTAGTTGAGTCAGTTCCTACTCATAGCAATCTTGTAGGACAATAAAATACCGCCTGATCTTGTGCCATCTTAACAATTGTTTGAGCCCATTGTTGCAGCCACTGTGCCAACCTAGTGAGCATGCTCTTGTCTGTGGCCCATTACTTTGTCAATTGGTTCCTGGTGGTGCAGTGGATTAAGTATTGGACTCTAACTCAAGGTCAACAGTTTGAACCCAATAATTGCTCCTTGGGAGAAAGATGAGATGAGGTAGTCAGCTTCTCCAAAGATTTACAGCCTCAGAAAACCTAGTGAGCCGTTCTACTCTGCTAAAGGGTCACTAAGAGTCAGGCTGACTTAGTGGTAGTTGGTGTACCTAGTAAGTATGATGCCCTACTCCAGGGATTGATCCCTCCTGAAAGCATGCCCAAAGTACATGAAATGAAGCCTTGCTAGTCTTGCTTTTAAGGAGCATTCTGACTGCATTTCTAAGATTTGTTTCTGACAGTCCATGGTATATTCAATATTCTTTGCCAACACCATAATTCAAAGCCATCAATTTTTTTATCTTCCTTATTCATTTTTCAGCTTTTGTATGCATTTAGGTCAGTTGATCATGCAAAGGTATTGGATAGTGTGGATTATAACAAATTATGTATTGCAAATAGTGAATTTTGGAATACTTAATGTATTTATGGAACATGTGGATAAACACTGCATGGTTTAAAAACCAATAAAGATGTGCATTAGGGTTGGATCCTTTCACTATACATATTTGATCTGTATGCTGAACAGAGCCTGTACTATATGAAGAATGGATTGGCACATCAACTGAAATAAGGAAAATAAATAAAATTTGGATTCACTGGAAATGTAGAATTTCTGTTTAGATTATATCACAACTCTAAAAACCCAATAAACATGAGAACTCATACTTTCCCATAAAAAGGCACTAGTCTCACACAATCATTCAGATGATTTCTAACACATTTAAACTGCTCCACCATAGAAAAAGTAGAAACTTTCCAAAGTTTTGGTTCATTTGTTGAAAAACTAAAAAGGAGCTTGAAGTAAGAAAGCAGATATGTTGGCTTTCATTCATTCAATGAACATTGAGTAGCTACCATTTGCCAAAGGTGCCCTGGTGGAGCAATGGGTTAAGGGCTTAGCTGCTAACTGCAAGGTCAGTCATTGAACTTCTCAGCTTCAAGGAAGAAAAGGCCTGGCAATCTGCTCCTGTAAAGATGACAGGAAACCCTGTGAACTGCTCTGTCCTACAGGGTTGCTCTGAATCAGAATGTACCTGATGACACCCAATAGTAATTTGCCAGACATTGTTTTGGATACAAAGAGACAATAACAAAGACCATGTCCTAAACTGGATAAATTGTAGAGCTGGAGACACTATTAATATTTAAATAGTAATATTTGGTAGTAATACTGAAATATAAAAATATAAATCTCCTAATACCAGGAAACTACAAAGTAATAAAAATATAAATTGAGAGCCAGACTGGAAAAATAACAGAAAATTAAGAGCTCTTTACATACACTGCAATCCAAACCAACATTACTCAATGGGCCTTTTAGTTACTCTTTCATGTCACAAGTGTGTTCTGAAATTAGTCTATGAAGTATAAATGTTTAAGGATACAAGGAAACTTATTGAATATGATCTATGTGTAGAGCTCTTGTACATGATAATGTGTTTAATGTCAGTTGAGGATGGATGAATTTGTGGTATTAGAATAATTGACTACATGCATTTTAAGGCAATGCAAAATAAAATAATGAACTATTTCAAAAGCATGATATTGGCAAAAAATCCATAGAAATTATGGGGAAAATGTGGTGCTTTAGGAACTTCCACAACTGTGCTATTAGAAGTAACTATTTAGAGCAACTGGGTAACATCTAGTAAAGTGAACACTATGTGAAATCCCAATTCCACACTTAAAATTACACACCCAGTATTTACAGGAAGACATACATGAATGGAGGTCCACTGAAGCATTATGAGAATGAAAATTGAAAACAAACAAGGCTTAAAATATGTTAGAAGAATGAACTAGAGTTAATTTTATCAACATGGATAAATCTCAAAAACAGTATTGAGATAGAACTTGAAAGTGTTTTTTATGATCTAGTATCAATTGTTTATATAAAGTGAAAATATGTAACAATGTTATTTCTTTTTCATGGCTAAATACTAAGTAACATTCATGAAAATAACAAATTTGAGACAAACCTGGGGAAGGAGAAAAATTAGATCAGAGGGAAAATGCAAGGGAGATTCCTTTTTTTTTAAAAAAAAAGCAAATTTGGCTGATTCTTTGTGGGTACAAAATTATAGGTGCTTATTCTCTGCACCTTTCTTTATACTTAAACGTTCATAATAAAAAATAAAGAACATTTAAAGGATTTATTTTGCCAGCCATTTCCTTACTGTATACTAGGCCTGCCACCTTCTCCTCCCCCCCAGAAAGCAGCCGCAATGCCATGTTTCTAATATACCCTTTTTTTACATTGAGTTATGATCCCCACTGAAGGCTGCAATCTTGATCATCATCAGCAAGGGCTTCAAGTCCTCAATTTCAGCAAGCAAGATTGTGCCATCTGCATATTACAGCTTGTTAATAAGCCTACCTCCAATCCGGATCCCACATTCTTCTTCATAGAGTCACATAATTGCTATTCAAATAGTGCCTTGAAAATTCACCCTTTGGAATTGAGTGAATTAGGTGTACTGGGGATTGGTTAGTTCATAGTCCTATTTAAAGGGACATGCTTTGAAATGGACAAGGTGTTGATATAAATGGCTGATTCCAAAAAGGCAAGGGCAGAGAGGCATAAATTGAACACAGAAGCTAGACCCTTATGAAAAATAATAAGTAGAGAAAATTACTAAACATAAAAAACTTCAAGAATACAAGAGAGACAAATTGTAACCGATGACATCAAATGGAACAATTATTGAAAGAGAAAAGGAGAAAGCTTAAAAAACTCTAAAATTTGTTCTTAGTGCATTAAAAAAATTCTGGAAAAATTTTTAAAAGGTTACTCAAGGGGAAAGGAAGAAGAAAAAATTATTAACAGAATGGACATGTAGACATTGTAATATCTATCTGGGAAATCAGACAAAAAGTCAAAGGGCAGGGGGTATCAATAACAATTTTAAGAAGTAAGATATCTGATCCTATTGGGAAGTAGAAAGAGAATGGGACTCAGTCTCACTAATAGCAGTGCAACTTAATCTTGAGAATCTGCCTCACTATGTTTTGTTATTGTGTAGAAGCCACTGAAAGAAAGAAACCAAGCATAAGTAAAATATGTCATTTTATTGGTAGAAGTGGAAATGGAACCTCTTTGAAGAGAAATTCAGCAGCATCTACACAAATGATCAAATGACAATGCATAACCGTGTGTATATTTTGCATATATAAATACAAGAAAAACATCCACTTGGTGCTGAAAAATGAAACAGCATGAGAAGAAAGGAAGCTGGACAGAGTATTAAATGTAGTTTGATTAAAATAGTATTTTAAAAATAGTGTATTTTCCATTTTTCAAAAGGAGATTCAATTTTTCCTCCTTGCACTCTCTTTTTTCTCTTGTCACTCTGTGTGATTTTCTTTTTAGCACCTAGTTATTGTCTTC